TCAATGTGAAGAAATAATAAGAGCAACGCATCAATAGCAATAGTGTTGTTTTTTCTCTTTTGGATTCTGTCTTTAACATTTCCGCGATTGTGCTGAGCCCGCCTAAAGGACAACATTAATGAATAGAAGTGAACGCAGGCATGTTTCTCGTGAGTTGGGCCACTGGAGTATCTTGTATTCATAAACAACAGTTGCGGCGATGCGAGACATTGTGGGGTCCTTAGCCATTGGGCGAATCCTGCTCTCTTGGAAACCTTTACATTCGCCAAGGGAGCACACTAGGGGCTCTTTTCGTCTAGATACCAGTGTGCCCTCAATACACTCGCGAGAATCACAGTAACAGCGAGCACTGAATACAGACCTCTCTTCGTGACAGGCAAAAATCGGTCAAATGGACCAGACGGGATACCACTTTAGTGCAAGGGTACCAGCCCGTAACTGAATGAGAGAGAACACCGTGATTGAATGAGTGAGAACACCGTGACTGAATGAGAGAGAACACCGTCACTGAATGAGTGAGAACACCGTCACTGAATGAGTGAGAACTCCGCCGCTCCCCCACTCGAACCAAGGCAAAAAAACGTGCCTTTAACGGACATGTGGAGGATCTTTGATGCGGGGCTCGGGTGAGCGGTTTTGGGGCTGGTTCGTTACATTACTCTTGAAAAGTTGTTGGCCTAGGCGGCCAGCTTGTCTCGACGTCTCAAATCTACTTCCATGTGCATGCAAAGTGTATATACTTCCATAGATTACCTCAGTCTTTTCCCTTCTTTTTTTGAAATCTTTTTTAAGCCAAAATTAAACCTTTTTAACAAGCAAAAAACCTAAAGTCTACTGGGAAATGATGTCCTCCGCCACTTTCGAGATTCTTTTCCCTTCTAGAGCTTGGTAGGGTGCAATGTTAACGTTGATTGCCAGCTTGAGTCTCTTTATTGTGATCAAGCTGTTCCCCTTGTTGTGCAAGGTCGTGCGAACCCTACTTTACGTGTTTGGGGGTTTTCTCATCCTCGTGGGGATTCGGGGAATCCAGTACCTTGGGCCAATCCTCTATGCCAAATCTGTGGATGGATGGTTCAATCTTACCACCGAGATTTACCGAACCTTCACGGACCTTATTGAACTCTCCGACCGCACCATCCCAACGTTTTCTCTTGATTATTTTCGCCCCAACCAAGCGACAATTGCCGCCATCGTCTTTGTGACAATAATTATAATTACAGGATGGACTTCGCTCAGTGTGGTCCGGACAAAGAACTCTTCAGCGGCCTCTAAGTCATCTAAACGCTTTGAAAATCCCTTATCCATTGCTTTTGTGATCATTGCGGAAAAATTGGGGCTTGTTAAAGCGACAGTAGACGTTGAATTGACGCGTGAATGCAAGACACATTCAATTAATTTGTAATTTCCGAGACCGTTGTAGCGTTGGACAATATGCTGGAGCTATTGAATTATCGACCATAAGCATGCACTGCTGTGACTCCCGGATCACGGCACCATTTGTTAGGTTCCGGAGCCACAAAGCAGTGCAGAAACCGCTGACAAAAGTGAAGAACAACTCATAGAGGCCGGAGTATGATGTATGGACGACATGTGGGAGTAGTTTGACCGTTGCACCACTGAGTTCGCGGGCATTCGCGAGGCAAAACAGGCCGAAAGAATATATGGATGGCAGCGTGGCTCGCAGGAATGCGGCAAAAAGGAATACAACAGTAGCCAAAGTCAACAACTTCTCGATTGACGGCCGGAATAATTTAATGACGACAATATAAAACGGCCAGAGCATAGATAATGAGAACGCAAGTGTGGGGGACATTTCAAATGGTGTTGGGGAATGGGGAATTTATAAATTTATTAAAGACAAAAGTCTCAACGATGAAACTTAGAATAGAGAGTGCAGAAAACACTGAATGAAAAAGGGGGAGACCCCGAGACACATGTTGACAGGAAACGCATGAAGGCGTCTCTCGGACTAAGAGAGGCACAAGAATAACTGGATCCTTATTAAATAAATTAGACTTGGTGCCTTGGTTGGCGCGGTGGAGTCTTGACCGGCAGGAAGTGGGTTCGAGACATGTGTAGTCCATTCTTTACTCTTGCACATTCCTTCAAGACGACTCTCTTTTCCGGAAATGCTAAGTTGAACGGCCGCGGACATAGACTCCAAGAACCCTACACTTATGGTATGGGCGACCCTTGTTTCTGTCGATATCACAAAGTATCACCTTTGTGATAATGACCGCATGGTCAGATAGGTTGTCTTCCCAATCCAAAAAGCTCTCAGCTGTGAAATCCCCTCTCGACTGCACCAGGCATCGGTCCAGTGTTCTCGTCGGCCGAGTTGATCTTGCTGATTTCCATGTTGGAGGAGACGGGACGACCTTGAGGTTACTGAGCTGTATTGCCTCTTGCAACCTCTCGTAGTTGGACGGGCCGTCTTCTCGCTTCCCACCGATCTGCTTCTCGTGTCCCGCGTTCAAGTCACCGATGAAGATCGTAGCAGCGTGTTGCTGCGTTGATGCTTCAACGATGGCCTTGATCTCGCTCCAAAACTTGATCTTCTTGTATCCAGGTGCTTCCTCAGTCGGTCCATAGCCACGAACAACGTTCACACTATTTGGAAGAAGGATTTGAAGAATGCGAGTCTTTTGTAGTTGTGGCCTTATCGGATGAAGAGTTCTTCGTCCGGACCACACTGAGCGAAGCCCATCCTGTAATTATAATTATTGTCACAAAGACGATGGCGGCAATTGTCGCTTGGTCGGGGCGAAAATAATCAAGTGAAAACGTTGGGATGGTGCGGTCGAAGAGTTCAATGAGGTCCGTGAAGGTTCGGTAAATCTCGGTGGTAAGATTGAACTATCCATCCACAGATTTGGCATAGAGGATTGGCCCAAGGTACTGGATTCCCCGAATCCCCACGAGGATGAGAAAACCCCCAAACACGTAAAGTAGGGTTCACACGACCTTGCACAACAAGGGGAACAGCTTGATCACAATAAAGAGACTCAAGCTGGCAATCAACGTTAACATTGCACCCTGCCAAGCTCCAGAAGGGAAAAGAATCTCGAAAGTGGCGGAGGACATCATTTCCCAGTAGACTTTAGGTTTTTTGTTTGTTAAAAAGGTTTAATTTTGAGGCTTAAACAAGAATCAAAAAAAGAAGGGGAAAGACTGAGGTAATTATGTAAGTATATACACTTTGCATGCACATGGAAGTAGATTTGAGACGTCGAGACAAGCTGGCCGCTTAGGCCAACAACTTTTCACCAGCCCCCCTTTAAAGGCCAGCTTCGTCGATTCTTCTCCGCTTCCCTCGCACAACTTCGAGTTGAGGGTACTTCATCTCTTTCCAAAACTGGTTGAGCTTCTCACGCCGGAACTGCGGATCGAACATCGAGTTAACAGACTGTAGGACAATATGATTCCATTCTTCTTTTTGGAGCTCCGTTTGTGGCGGGCTCAAAAACCGGACGTCTTGGATGTGGACAACGCGCTCATCCCGAGTGAGGAGATTTCGTACTAACGCCTTTTTTTTGCCTGCATACACCGAAACAACTCGACATGGCAGAGACCATTTTGGGATCAGTTTATGCTCGTGGTCGCCTGAGTAGTGGGCGAATTTCGTCCGATCATAGTCGTTGGCCTTCACAAGAACTAACTGATGGAGCTGGAATTCCGCAGGGCTTCGATGCTTGTTCTTGCGTTCGTTTTCTCTAATTCGTTTATCATATGCTTGCCACAGGATGTCTAAGCGCATTTCGTTTAGGAACTTCAGGCGGTCTTGCATCGTGATATCTCGTTGAAATCGCCAGTCATTGTCCGCTGGGGCACGAAGATCTGTTCCATAAACCAGGAACGCGGGAGACTCGCCTGTGGTTGAATGGAGCGTGCATCGGTACGAGTATAGTACCAAATTCAAGGCTTCTTCGAAAGGAACATGTGGACGGTTAGCAGGAGGTGTGAAGGAAGTGAGTCCTCGATTCAATGTGCGATGGAAGGATTCGATGGTAGCGTTCCCTTCAGGATGACGTGGGGTAATGGTCAACGCTTTCGTGCCGAACGTGCCATGAACATTTGCGAGCAGCGATCCCGTGAACGTCTTGTCATTGTCTGTCACAATCACGTTGGGGACGCCGAAACGGCAAATCCAGGATGTGACGAAGGCTGAAGCGACGACTGCTGCTTGAGTTGAGGGGAGGGGAACGCATTCAGCCCATTTGGTAAACTGGTCGACCATCGTGAGAAGTTTTCGTTGTTGGAGCTTGAAAGTGCATTCCCAATAGTCCATATAAACAGTTTGGAACGGCCCAGGCACCGGGTGGGTTCGAAAATGGCCTTGTAGCTTTTCTAAGCCAACGTGAGTGGTCTGGCAGCGGAGGCAAGATGGGCCTTTCTTAATTGAGATTCTATTTAGTGGTGCTTTCTATGATTGGATTGTTCTGTTCTAGAAAGGGCTGATAAATCAAAGATTGCCAAAATTGTGGAGATGGAACAGAGAAAGAGATACAAGAACCGCCTCACTCAATGTCACTCAATACGGTGTTCTCTCTCACTCTCACTGAATAGAATGTTCGCTCACTCCAACTTCCCTAATCTCTCTCATCTCCACTGACTCTCAGCTCTTCCCGTCACCAATTTTCCACGACAACGATAACAGAATGTTGTGCGGATGGAAGTCAAACGCTAAAGCTTTTTATCCCGTCGTTTGCACGAAAAAATCTTCCAAAATCTCAATACCATTTTTTCGCCACTGGGTCCCAAAATACGTGCTCTTTCGGCCAGTTGGGAGTTGGATAAGGGGGAAGCCTCGAAACAGGACAAATCTCGACGGTATGGGTGACGTAATTCTTGCGATAATTTGTCCTAAAAAAATTGTAAGGAGGATCCTTTCAACTAGCTAACGTACGCAAAATCGCGATTCTCCGGCGTTGAACGGTAGAAGAGGTGCGCAGGAATCTGCCCCCTACGAAAAAAATAAGAAAACCAAAAATTGGGGGAGCTTACTCTTGGGGCATCCCATGTTTCTCAATGTATTCCTTCCAAGCTTTAGGATCCACACCAATTGGGACACCATCTGGCCCAAATTCAATTCCTGGACCTTTTCCGTCTATCGGCTTTGGGGTATATTTTGCTCGATGTTCTGTTGCAAAGTCTCTATTATCTGGTACTGATCGATAGAATAGATGCGGCGGAATTTGGCCACTAAGACGACAGTAAATAAGACAAAGAGAAACCATGTAGAACTCACTCAGGAGGGACTCCATGCTTAGCAATGTATTCCTTCCAAGCTTTAGGATCCACACCAATAGGAACCCCATCTGGCCCAAATTCAATTCCATGACCCTTACCATCTATTAGCTTGGGTTTATATTCGGCTCGATGCTCTGTTGCAAAGTCTCTGTTGTCTGGTGTCGATTGGTAAAATAGGTGCGGCGGAATTTGGCCACTAAGACGACAGTAAATAAGACAAAGAGAACCATGTGATACTCACTCAGGAGGGATTCCATGCTTAGCAATGTATTCCTTCCAAGCTTTAGGATCCACACCAATTGGGACACCATCTGGCCCAAATTCAATTCCTTGACCTTTTCCGTCTATCGGCTTTGGGGTATATTTTGCTCGATGTTCTGTTGCAAAGTCTCTATTATCTGGTACTGATCGATAGAATAGATGCGGCGGAATTTGGCCACTAAGACGACAGTAAATAAGACAAAGAGAACCATGTGATACTCACTCAGGAGGGATTCCATGCTTAGCAATGTATTCCTTCCAAGCTTTAGGATCCACACCAATTGGGACACCATCTGGCCCAAATTCAATTCCTTGACCTTTACCATCTAGTGGCTTAGGTTTGTATTCTGCTCGGTGCTCAGTCGCGAAGTCTCTGTTGTCTGGGACAGACCGATAAAATAGATGTGCTGGTATTTGACCCCTGCAACAAATGAGCCTCGACTCTTTTTGGGACTTGACGAAAACTCACGGTGGGGGAGTCCCATGTTTCGCAATATACTCTCTCCAGGCAGCAGGATCGACTCCCGCTGGGATCCCATCTTGTCCATATTGGGACTGGGGCCCGGCAGAACTCAGGTCATGGGCCTTGTATGTCGTTCGGTAGACTGTGTCACCGACAAACGGCGTCATCGGTCGTGATGGTTCGCACTGATGCGCGTCGCATGCGCAGAGCTCGTCCACACACAATCCAGCTCTGAAAAATAATCGCTTGAGATCAACCAGTCGGTCATCTTCTCACTTTGAGGGGGCTTCTGTTCTGTGTTTTTCATCTTCTGGCTTCAACACAAGCCGTCGTACTGGAACGCTCCCAGCTGGCGCGGATTTCCACGACGCGTCAGGCTGTTCATCGGCCAGCGCCATTCCTTTATAGTTCGAAAAAGGCGAGGCATGCGGGGCCTTCTTACTGAACTGGATCGTCATCCGATACTATGGATCGTTTGGTGAAACACTTGTATAGAAAATCAAACAGAAATCAGAAATTTTATAATGAACGATTTCCCCCGAAACTCTTTTCTGTTTGCATGCGGACAGTGCCGCTGGAGGAACGCAATCTCTATGTAAAAATGGGATGAACATAGATAAACATCCATGGGGAAATAATTATAGAAAAACATTTATGGGGGAGATACGCATCCAAAATAGTGCATCACCTGATGGTGAGGGAATCATTCGCGCATCCACAAAGTTGGTGGACCTGAGCAAAGAAAAATGTGAATTTGTGGAGAGAGGTGAATTTGAGATGTACTGCCCGGCAACATATTGGCACGATCCGTGTCACGCTGCAACACAAACAGCACGGCGACTTCACACACCACTCCATTACCATTTACGACGTCACGATTACGTCGCGTTCCAAAAGGAGCTCAAGTAACTCTTAATTCTCTTGATGTTGTACTCTTGTTTTGCTTCAGGTCCGGATTTAATCCATTCATTCGAGATGAGTGCGGGAGAACTCCTCTTGATCTTGCCCTTTCGATGCTTGAAGATTTGCTCATCACATCGCTTTGTACTTCCTTCCCCGTCGATTTTCTAGTTCGTACTCTTGAGTATGATGCACGATTTCCAGCGAAGTTTGTTTCACATTATGCAGAAGTTTATCAAAATTTGTATGATCATCCAAATGCTCTACGCTTAGCTTCAGAACAACAGGGAGGAATCAATACTCGAAATCCTATTGGATTTGGGACAGGAGACTATCCGCGATTCGTTCCAGCTCCTTATCCCTCATACAAGCATGAAACGCTTCCGGCACACATCCATGAGCAATGTGCTCCACTGGTTGAATTTCAACAAAAGCGAGGCACAAGAAAACCAAGAAGGAACTCAGATGAGAAGACAAGGAGGGAAATAGGAGGAAGTAAAGAAGTGAAGAGTGAAGAATCTGAATACAGCTCGGAAAGTGAGGAATCAGAGAGTGACGAGGAGAGCCCTTCAGACGCGCCATTGAGGCCTCCAGATGCGACAAAATTGCAACAATTATTTCAAGATCAAATGGTTTTGGTCGTTGAAGATGCAATTCAACAGCCAACACCAGTACGAGTCAAAAAACGGATGCATGAATTACTTTCTCAAATGAGTGCATTGACACGATCAATTCAGTTATTGATGACTTGTGAACCGCTAAGAGTTCTTGCTATTGAATATCGTCTTTCAATAGCGACAAAAGCGTCTCCATCAGAATCTCAAATACCGAAATTCGTGCTGGAGCATTTAACTTACCCCTATCTGTTCATGGCGACTCTGCAGGTGGGTTAGTTATGAATACTTATATTTTAGTTTGTTCTTGTTTTGCTAGAATCTTTTTGAAATGTACCCATTTAGCCCAACGGAATCGCGTTGGAAAATTGATGATGTTGCGGATGCAAGGAGACTCTTTAATTTAGTACTATTCAAAAAACTGAAAGGGCATGAAGTTGTCTTCTTCTTATCTCAACTGCCGGGATTTTTCTGCAGCTTTATTCGAGTTCTCGGAGTTCAATTTTTTCGCCCTCGCCCTGAAATTTGCCAATTTTTGATGAATTTTGCATTTTGCATGGATGCACCAGATCTCTTCTATTTTGCTTCTCGCAGCGGACAACCGTTTCAATGCGGTGATCTGTTTGATTGGGACAAGCTCATCACTGAGTTGTTGCCATTCAGACGTCAATTTTGTCGTTTCTTGATTCCATTGATTACAGCGCGCCTGAAGGTACGAAATAGCCGAAAACTCCAAGTTGCATTGTGTGTGGCATTTCAGGAACGAGTGCAAAAGCGTTTAGTTGCAGATGAAGACAGCGATCAAGAAGCAACTGAGGAGGACTTTGAACCTCTTAAACCTCCAGCAGAGAAGTGAGTCCTGAATCCAATCAAACGTTTCGATGACTTCACGTCTACAGAATCTCTCTTCCATTTGAAGAACGCTATCTGACTAGAAATTTTATAAAGGATTTCGGTCAACTATTCGGAACGTAAGCAGCCTGGCTTCAGTTTCATGATTCAATTTTTCACACAGTAACGATCTTGCGAGTCTTGAGAATATGTTGAGGTGGTGGGATTATGAGGTTGTTCGTCTGAAGACTGGTGACACTCCAACCGCACCTCCTCAAATTTGTAACGCAACTCAGGAGAAACGCCCCGTTGAACCCCAAAAATCTCCGCCTCCCCAATCTCCTCGACGTCCTTCATCAGGTGTGGCTTCTTCCGTTATCCTTAATATTGCGTTTCTGCAGACACAAGATGGAAGCGACGTTTTGACTCTCGTGTGCATCACAAGCTCAAGTAACACGCGATTTTTTAATTTTTCTCCTAGAAGCTTTTTTTTTCTCCAAATATTCAACCATTCAAACTTTTCTTGTTTTTGCTGATATTGTGTTCCTCTTCCTGCTCAAAAAACCTCAAATCATGTCTTTGCAAGAAAGTATTGTGACACAACAGGCATGGCATTTTTTCGTATTCTGTACAAACCTGTTCAGCAAACACAAACCAATTTGCCAGAAAACACTTACCACATACCAGAGTCAGGTTTTGCAATCATTGGTGTAGCTGCTAACATTCAGGATCCGGGTTCTGCTTTGTTTGTTTTCTCCCACTAATGAATTATTTTCTAGATTTTTCATTTTCTTCTTTCATATCATTAATTACTTTTTATTTCTTCTATTCATTGTTCCTACCAGCATCAGCACAAATCAGAATTCTGCAACCCCCGGTGCTTGCATTACAGTTCAAGCCATTCGGCTCGATCAAAGGTTCAACCGCAGCGTTTGGAACACCAGTAGGTTTTTTGAACTATCCCCGGCACCCACATTCACTTCTTTTACAGTACTGGGGCGAACAGCTTATAGGCCGTGTTGAATACAACGTCAGCAAAGGTGAGCTTTGCTTAACCAGCGCCATGAAACGTTGCTTTCACAGGAGATGATTACTACTGCAGCGACGATGACTATGATCTTCCGCCCCATGATGATTCTCTTGAACCAATTCAAGACAATCAAGACGATGACATGGAAAGCTCACGTCACTGGCCACGCATTGTTATTGTAGGTTCGTGCATGAAAAAACTTTACCCAACTTCTGCGTGCTAGGTGCGACGCGGTAAATGTCACTTCGCTCAGAAGGTCAAAGTAGCTCAAGATTCGAAAGGCGCTTCTGCTGTGATTATTGTTGATGAACAAAATTCAACGAGAAGTCCCAATGAAATCAGAACAATCATAATGGCAGACGGTAAGTGATGCATCTATTTCTGATTTCGATACCTTTTTTTGTTTTCAGACGGTTTGGGATCAAAAATAAGAATTCCATCAATTTTGATCAGCGACGATGAAGGAAGTCGGTTGATCAATGCCGTTCAAACGGGAGTCAACGTCATAGCGGAACTGATGTGGGACATACCGAATGAAGCCATTGTCAGCGTCGACTCATGGATGTCCCCAGGAATTTCAGCCTCGATCAATTTTTTGGCTGCATTCGCCCCGTATGCAAGGGCACTGAAGTATCGGGTACTAAAAGTAGTTCTCCTCTCAAACTACTCTTTCTTTTCCATTTCAGATGAATTTCCGCCCGCATTTTTTCCTCTTCAGTTTGCCAGCTGATGCGAATTCAATGTGTTCAGATACATCAGCAAAATTTTGCAGCATGTCTCCCGGTGAGGATTTCCCACAGTATGGTTCACTGGAATGCGCTCTTATGATTCTTAGATTGGCACGAAAACAATGTAACAGGGTTGCAAGTCGTTGATGAAATCATACGAGAGAGTTGCTTGTGGTTTACAACAAAAACCGTCGACATTAAAATATCAGAAAGCGGCGAATATTCAGAAGCCTGGTGGAATTACATGGAAAAAGTTGGTCCAGAGTAAGTTGGACAAGATTGCAACACTCCTAGTGATTTACATGCTCCACCAACCCTCAACTCTTCAATGTGTTTCTTCCTTCTTAGATGTTTGAGACCAACTCCATCATCTCAGTTCTACGCTGAACCCTTTACTGAAAAATGTTCCTATGAATTGATGAGACAGTTAAAAATCGACCCAACAAGGATCGAAGCATGTCAGTGATTTATCAATATGCATCAACCATTCATTTGTTTCTCTCAGGTATTGATAGAATTGGAACCACACAATTGACATCCGATCTGTATAATCATGCATGGAGCCCAACGGCCATGATGATTAATGATGCACGGTACGATGAAACAATCAAGTTTTAATGAAAATCGTCTTTCATCAGATTCGCGGGACCATTAGATGCTTTTGTTGTTGCACGCGCTGTTTGCACTGGATTTACTTTAAGTAAAGAACCAGAAGAATGCACAGCCTTGAAGACGCGCCATATTCACGATGTTCTGTTCCATCAACAAGCACCGTATATTTTTGGTGAATCTCTTGCGTATCACAAGGGAGGTAAGCGGTTTCCAAATGGAGAGGGTCATGCATATTCTCGGCTTCGCAGGTGTTGCTTGGTGGGTTTACTTTATTAGCGTTTTCGGAGCAATATTGCTTTGTATCGGAGCCGTCTTCACATATCGATTATGGCTAGTGAAACAGTTGAAAAATGAGTTGCGGTATGAAGTTTTTGAAGAAGGTTAAATCACAACTTGGAGCCCAACATAAGGAATCGCCAACCATGCCGTCTTATTCAGATCACACACCGCCGTTATCTGCACCTTCCATTTCAGCTATTGAAATTCCTACAAGTAATCGTTATGCAGTTTTATCCATAAATCAAACTTAATTTACTTATGGTGGAGAAAGATCCGCTATTTTTCTTTTATGAAGATGCGCACAAATTGTCCCCAATTTATTTTAAGCCTTGCATCAGCAAGGTTGTACGTTTCATAGAAAACTCAAGCAATGCCAATGAGTAAATCTGAGCTCAAAAAACAAA